TTATTGCATACACAAATTTTCGCTTGTCCTATATGGCAAGATGAGCAATGCTATTTAAGTCAAGATCGCAAGTTCTGCCTATTCGGCACGAGATTATATATATATATATATATATATATATATATATATATATATATATATATATATATTATATATATATATATATATATATAAGGAGGTACCACCTCTAGAACTGTCCTGGGGACCCTCATCCTCAGAGAAAAGAATGAACTTGCTTCAGGGAAAACTCAAGGTTCTTCCTGAAGATGTTTGAAAATTTTCTCCTTCCACCCCCTTTATTTAATATATATTTTATTTAAAGACAAAATGCATTGACAAAACATTCACAAAAATACAATAGAGTAAAACATAGATAACTCAGAGCTACGTCTCGAATACTTTGTCCAGCTCCCCGGTGGTGGGCCGCATGCCCAGAATGCTGAAGGCATTTTCCCTCTGGATCGCAACACTGAGTCTCTGAAAGAGGAAGCTGGCTTTCTGTGGTATTTGGTTTTTATGACGAGTTTTTCACCCAGCTCTTTGGGGAACTTTAAGGCACACTTGCCCCATGCTCCAAGGGTCTCTGACCCTTTTGGGATGCAGTTATAGTGAGGAGGAAGACCTTCATATTTATGGGTCTTCCTGTGGCTAGCAGCTCCACCGCTTCAGCTATGGAATATGGGAAAGTAGGTATTTGCCAATGTTGCGGCAGATCAGCTGTCGCCCTGCCGCGAATACACCTGTGTTCGGTGAGTATGGGAGAGGCTAGGCGAAGAGCAACACCAATCCCAATGGCCTGTGGGTCGAGTCGAGTGCCCAGGTAGGAATTGCGAACAGCTAGAAGGAAATCTGAGTGTGGTGCCTCCACCGATAGGAGAAGAGCTTTGTTCTTTCCTAGAGCGTTGATGAGCATTATGTTGGCGATTTTTTCCATGATCGGTTTTTCCCAATGGGACTGTTTGTGCTCTTTGGGAGGAGCTGGTCTACTGGAGGAGTCTGCAAGGGTGTCCCACCTCATGGCTGCTTCAGTGAACCTTGGGTCTTGAGCTCCTACCACGTCTCTCATGCTTTCGGGGACAATCTTCCTGACTAATCCACTGGAAACCAAACACGAAGACAGAAATGCTTTGCGCACCCGTATACTTCCCAGTCGCACTGGGAGGGTTGTCTGATCGCGTTGCCGATCCTCTAGTAACAGATTCAGTGCTTTCTTAAAGGTTGTTCTCAGGAGTGCGTCATATTCGTCGAGTGTTGGGTTGTCAAAAGAGGGTGCGCACCACAGGAAGTGAGTCTTGGCAGAGTAAGACACCTTGTGAGGAGATACAGGGCATCATGGGCATCAAGAATGCTTATTCTCTCCTCCATTCACTTCAGGTCATTCAATTTGTCCTTGAGGACCATATCGATGGCCTGATGACCCAGCGGTGCTCCCAAGAGGGTACTGTTGGATGGAGTTGTAGTAGAGACTTCCGAGAGGATTGCTCGCACAACATTGATTATTTCCTGATTCGTTGTGATGATTTCACAGAGGGATTGAAGACGAGTCCCAAGGCTTATCCCTGTGTCTTCACCAGTTCTAGGTCCTCCAACCAGGACTCTTCAGTACCTGCCAGAGTGCCATCATCCAGGTACCAAATGTTGAGCTCGTTGCGTAGGCTGGAAGTTAGTTCTCTTACTGCCAAGCAATAGACTGTTATATTAAACGGTTTTATTTTGCACATTTTGATTATTGCACTATTGAAAAATTGTGGCACAATTTTATACAACACTTCGAAAAAATTAACTTAATGAGGTTCGGTTTGTGGGAGAGGGAAAAAATTTGGAGCATCGCTTTAAGAATCCTCATGCTTTGAAAGATGTAGATAAAAACACCTTACCAGTAATTTGGATGTCACACCAGTCAGCATGAATGACAGAGGAAATACTCATTGACTGGTTTAAGCATCACTTTATTTTGGGTAGTTTCAAATTTTGGTTGGACAAATACATGAATGAGAGGGATTGGATTTGAGTGGGCTTTCACATGAGCAGATTTTTCAGATCTAATTGTTAGGGTAGCACTGAAAGTGGGTTGGGCAAATGTTCTGTTAGTAGGATGGTATTGTAAAGGACCTGCCAAGTATGGGCCAACAGCCCTAGTGCAGTGTTCCTCCTTTCTTACGTTCTTATGTCTTCTTGAAGTCAAGTTTTACCTCATGAACCTTGCATTCAAGGCTCTCTCTGTTTTTGATAATTCCCGTATTCATCCACATGCTCTGCTGGATGTGACCCTACATGTAAATGTTATATTTTTACCTCCAAATACAACATCATTAATGCAATCACTGGATGGGAGAGTTAAGTCATTCAAGTGTAACATAAAAAAATATGAAAAAACAAGTTGCATCAATTGACTCTTGACTCCACCTGGCAGTACCATGCTTCTGGAATAAATTTAACAATGCACAAAGAACTAACTACAGATGGCCTTCTGTGGTTAGTTCTTTCACTGGTTTTCCCTCCCTTGAGAGTCAAGTTCAGTAAATTGTTCAGCTGGCAAGGAGAGTAACAAGTGATGATAGTTTCCTTGACAATGATAATTGGAATAAGCTATTAGATGATGATGATGAAGACAGGAGTCCAGAGGAAGTGTTGGCAGAGCTCGATGCACAGATACAAGGGAGCCACATAACAGAAGATGAAAAACCTGAAGAAAAACAGTTTACATTGCAGCATTTACGTGAGCAGTTCCATGTTGCTGCTAAACTAGCAGACTTTTTCACTGAAGAGGACCCTGACAAATCTAGAAGCAGTGCTTTGAAACAGGGTCTAGACCAGCTGATGATGCCAGGTCTAGACCAGCTGATGATGCCTTACCGTCAGCTGCATAATGTACTCCAGGGTAAAATAGCCCAGAGATCCATTACAGAATTTATGCACACTCCAATACAACCATCGACTTTAATACCAGAACTTTAACATCCACTTCTGCCGACAACCAACAACCATCCACCTCAGCCCAGTAGGGCCAAACCATGTAAGTTTATTCAGGTATACACAAATACAGTTACATAGAATTATCGTAGATAGCAAACACAATTTAAGGTAAGAAATATTATTATTTATGTTGCATTATCAATAAAAACATAATATATCACGACAATGAACTGCAGTTACCTACTCACTTTTATTTTTGTAAGATCTGGTCTAAAAAAAAACTTGTTCGGCTTTGTGGGAGTTCCCAGGAACGTAACCCTATTTTTCCCATAAGTTCATCACTCTAGTGTGTCACACTCCACTGTCACTAGTGTCAAACTAGTGTCACTAGTGTCACACTCCAGTGTGTCACACTCAACCGTCACACTCCAACGTGTCGCACTCCACCGTGTCGCACTCAACCGTCACACTCCAACGTGTCGCACTCCACCGTGTCGCACTCAACCGCGTCACACTCCACCGTGTCACACTCCACCACGTCACACTCCACCGTGTCGCGCTCCACCATGTCACACTCCACCGTGTCACACTCCACCGCGTCACACTCCACCGCGTCACACTCCACCGCGTCACACTCCACCGCGTCACACTCCACCGCGTCACACTCCACCGCGTCACACTCCACCGCGTCACACTCCACCGCGTCACACTCCACCGCTTCACACTCCGCGTTACACTCCACCGTGTCACACTCCACCGTGTCATCTGGAGTTTACCTGGTGAGGGTTTCGGGGGTCAACGCTCCCGCGGCCCGGTCTGAGACCAGGCCTCATGGTGGATCAGGGTCTGATCAAACAGGCTGTTACTGCTGGTCGCACGGAAGCTGACGTACGAACCACAGCCCGGTTAGTCAGGTACCGGCTTTAGGTGCCTGTCCAGTGCCTTTTTGAAGACATCCAGGGGTCTATTGGTAATCGACCTTATGTATGCTGGGAGGCAGTTGAACAGTCTTGGGCCCCTGACACTTATTGTGTTGATTATCAAATAGTATACAATACCGACAGGTTGGTAGATAAGACACATAGGCAACATTTAGGCAACTTTATTTCGAAACGTTTCGCCTACACAGTAGGCTTCTTCAGTCGAGTACAAAGTAGGCTTGAGCAGTAGAGATGTTTGATCTGAGAGGGACATGACCTCCCAGTGGCTACATTCTCACTACTACTACTACTCTGCACCTCTCCTTCCGACAGTATTTAAGTCTGAACACTGTCACTTGATCTTCAGTTAGTTCCAGACTTTGGAACAGAACTTCTCCAGGCAGAGGGACTGACAACCTCAAATCTACGACTTCAAGGGTGATGGACTGATTACATCGTCTTCACATCTCTACTGCTCAAGCCTATTTTCTGTACTCGACTGAAGAAACCTACTGTGTAGGCGAAACTTTTCGAAATAAAGTAGCCTAAATGTTGCCTATGTGTCTTATCTACCAACTTATTGCGTTGTCTCTCAGTGCACTCGTAGCACTCCTGCTTTTCATCGGGGGAATATTGCATCTCCTGCTGAGTCTTTTGCTTTCAAATGGAGTGATTTTCGTGTGCAGGTTTGGTATTTGTCACTCCAGCACGTCAACACTCCAGGGAGTCAACACTCCAGCGAGTCAACACTCCAGCGAGTCATACATGAGCATAATAAAAATCAAGATTTTTAATATACTTTAATAACTCTAAAGGACCATTGCAACATTGTTATTCCTGTTTGACAAGTAAAAAATATTTTTCTCCTGTTAGGTAAAGAACATTAAAATACCTACGAAATCAAAATAAATGAGATTCAAATTTATATATGTACGGAGCTGCTGGTTCCTAACTCAACATTATTTGCATTTTATTTGGGTTTCCATTTCATATTAGAATCACCTACAAATATTTACGTATTTTATACAGTTATGTATTTATTGAAGCAGAGTTTTTCTTAATGTATCTACTGTTTTCTCTGAATATAATGTAAAATAAAACAAAGAAAATGTTAATTTTCTAGACATATGCGGCAAATTCAAGGGTGAGGCTATAATACTGGGTATAATAATGTGTTGACAATGTCAAATGTCACTAATTAACTGTTATAGGTTAGAGGGGAGTCGGGTTTCATCTTTCATTTTAACCGAACCTAATAAAATTTCTGGTGGGCGCTCTCACAGGTCTGACATCCAGCACTGACTCGCTGGTTTCAGAGGACGAAGAGGATGATCCTGGGTGTCCGACAAATCCATCACGCTTACCGAATCTCAGAAAGTTGCGGTTGCGACCGAAGCGCAAAAAGCCTCGGTTATACCCACGTTTGTTTATGTTCTTGGCTTCCTCAGAAGTAAATTCGTTAATCATTTCATCTTCTGGACGGATATCTCTGGCCCAGGCTGAGGGGCTGTAATAAGGTCGTGATACATATACACCTGGAACAGCTCTCTTCAAGCGCTTTGAAGTTATCTTCCCTGATTCAGAAGACGTAATGTTGTGGGATGATGATAGTTGTTGCTGCACTTGTGTGGTTGAGGGTTCAGATGTGGTTTCAAAGGATTTGGATTCCACATCGCAGCCATCTTGTGATTGGGAACTGAGCTGACAGTCGACGGAGCGGCCGAACCTCAGGAAATTGCGTGAAGGATCACGGCCGAACCTCAGGAAATTACGTGAAGGATCACGACCGAACCTCAGGAAATTGCGTGAAGAATCGCGACCGAAACGTAGAAAGTTGCGACTTCGTTTCTCAACCGAATTACTGAGTTCCTCGTTGCCATTGTTGTCATAGTCGTCGTAGTTGCTGCGTCCGAATCTGCTAACACGAAAATGTTCATTTAATTATGCATTTTGTGATTTTTTTTTTTAATATTTAAGTGTTTTTATATAATTTTATTTGCAAAGACCCATTAATACATTTCCAGTAAATTTTGTGAATTTTCAGTCTATTTAAATGTTTGCTATAATATTTTATTACCATTTAGTTGTTGCTCTATCCTTTAATTTACATATTCCAATTAGAAAATGTTGAATAAAAGAGTTAATATATTTAACGCTTTCACAATTTGAGAATTTAATTCCTCTTAGTATATAAAAGCCAATCATTAAGAATTAGATGCCGGTAACAGTAATAGAAATTTGGAGTACGAGGTTTTTCAGCTGTACAGACCTGAGGAAATTGCGACCTCCTCTCTTGTTTTCCACATGATTGCTACAAGAATTGCAGAAATAAAATAAAATAGAGATAATTATAAATGAATTGAGTTTTCTAATGAGCAATTGAGGAAGCAAGCAAATATTACCAAATAGCCAATTATTCCAGTCCTCCCTAAGTCATTTTATGTCGAGTGTTAACTGATACAAATATTTGAATGTACATGCACTTTCCACTACATACACTCTTCCCTAAATTATCTCCACATGCAGTTATATCTACATAAATATTTTGTTAAAATTCGATTAGAAATTAAAATGCAAGGAGAATGTTCAAGATGACGAAGATTACTATGGATGTCCTAAGCTGCCACAAATGTTGTTGTAATAGAAATTCAGAGACTTTTGAGGGAAGGTGTGAGAGAGAAATGCCCAGCGTTGTGCTCTTCCAACAACGACAATGCCTGTACAGAATTGGTATACAGTACCGACAAGATGAAATTAAGACATATGCAACATCTGGGTATCTTTATTGTAGAAGTTTCGCCATCCAGTGGCTTTATCAATACAAATTCCAGGACATAACTTGAAGACAGTAGAACTATGTACAGAAGATGAGGTAATCAGTCCCTCAACCTAGGAGTAGGTGCGAAGAGCACCGTAGTCGTGGAGATTCTGAAGCAGAAGCAAGGAGCCTGGCGCTTTTATACTAACCTCAGGTGGAAATGGGACGTGTAGCAGACGAGGGCATAGTTACTGTTAGGCGGGATTCCCCAGTGGAAGTAGGTCCTACCCGAGGAGATGGGTTAGTTGTAGTAGTAGTTGTCGTAGTCGTGAAGGTTATGTACATGTCCTCAGAATCAAGATTCCATGATGTTGCAGTATCTGACAAGTTGTACAAGAATGGTATACCAGTGACTATGCCCTCGTTTCCTACACGTCCCATTTCCACCTGATGTTAGTATATAACCGTCAGGCTCCTTGCTTCTGCTTCAGAATCTCCACGACTATGGTGCTCTTCGCACCTACTCCAAGGTTGAGGGAGTGATTACCTCATCTTCTGTACATACTTCTACTGTCTTCAAGTTATCTCCTGGAATTTGTATTGATAAAGCCACTGGATGGCGAAACGTCTACAATAAAGATGTTGCACATGTGTCTTAATTTCAACGACAATGCCTAATGCTCACGAGGCACATTTTATCTAACGTTTTCTGGCCAAAAACACCATGTCGATCATTTCCCACCCTCCCTAGTACCCATATATAACTCCTTTTAACTTCATTCATTTTCTAAAGTTAAAAATGAGGGTCAAGAAAACTCGTTGGCCGTGCTATGTGAGTGGGAAAACCGGTACACTTTTTACCGCTGTCCGAAGACTTTGTAACACCTCTTATGATCCTTGCCCAGCAGAAAGATAAAATTAGTTCTGGTAGTGAAAAGGCCACATGCAGATGCATCAGCTAAGGCTGTTATGTGCTCGCTCTGTTGCAGTCCTCTTCATTATAGGGATTTCGTTGACACCAAAAGCGTAAACAAACATTGATCCAGCAGACAAGGATGGTTGAATACCAAGCTAACTCCCGCTGGTATGAGATGATGGTTGCAGTCCCTAACATTTATTCTCTCAGCATTTGGGATGAACCAAGACAGAAATTGGTTTGAAACCCGCCTTTACCATACTAACAGAAGCAACCGCTGCATGTCGAGCCTCCAACACTGAAATAATGATGTGGAGAACATCTTGTTTTTCAAACTAGATGAATAATAAAAAGATATTTAATTAATCACTTGCTCACCTCAAGTAGTTTTCATTTATTTATTTATTTATTTATTTATAATTTGAGCACACTTACAGAGGTACAAAAAAAAATACAGATAAGAGCAGCATGCCAAAGCCACTTATACTATGCATAGCATTACGGGCTGGCTTAAAATTAACTTAAGATTAACTAAGCAATGATGAAATCAGTGAAAAACATTAATGTAAACTGATTACTATAAAGCACAAGTGAGTATTACAAAGACAGGTCATATGGTTGCATGCATTGTTGTAAATTCAGTAGAATGGAGTATTCTGTTAGGTAGTGAATTAAAAAAATAAAGTTAGATTGGGTTTTAGGTTTAACATTTATGTGATATAATTGTGAGAAACATTTAAGATATACAATTTATAAGGTTCAGTTATTCAGTATTTATTTGGTTTTGGGTGAGTAAGTGATCTTTGAGAAGAGACTTGGAATTTATAAACAGGTAGTGTTTCTTTTATATTAACAGGTATGAATTCCAGATTTTAGGGCCTTTTATGTGCATTGAGTTTTTGCATAGCGTGAGATGGACACGAGGAATATCCAAAGAGTGATCTGTGCCTTGTGTTATGGTCATGTGTTCTGTTGAGGTTGGCAAGGAGATGTTTGAGGGGAGGGTTAATATCAGAGTTGAGTGTTCTATGTATGTAATAGGTGCAGTAATAAGTATGGATGTTTTGTATGGTGAGTAGGTTGAGTGTATTGAATATTGGTGGAGTGTGCTGCTGTAGTGAGAATTTGTTATCATTCTAACTGCAGCCTTTTGTTGGGTAATTAGTGGTCTGAGATGGTTACTTGTTGTTGAGCCCATGCACAAATTCCATAGGTGAGATAGGGGAAATAAGAGAGTGATATAGGGCCAGGAGGGCTGACTGTGGAGCATAGTACCGTATCTTCGATAGTATGCCTACAGTCTTGGAAATTTTCTTAGAAATTTGTTGTATATGTGTATGAAATTTGAGTCTATTATCAAGGTGGATTCCTAAGAATTTTCCCTCTGTTAGCTTTGTGATAGGTGATCCGTTTATCATTATGTTAAGAGGGACATCTGTAGCTCTGTTACCAAACTGAATGAAGTTGGTTTTGTCAATGTTTAGTTGTAAGTTTGTTAGTACTCATCCAGTAGATATTTTCTGTAATTCGGTATTTACAGTATTGGCTAGCGTGACTGGGCTCGGGTGGGAGAAGACGTATGTTGTGTCATCAGCAAATAGTGTGGGTTTGAGTAATTGAGAAGCATTTGGTAGGTCATTTATGTATAGGAGAAAGAGAAGAGGGCCAAGGACACTTCCCTGTGGGACACCAACTGTAATTGGTTGTGCAGAAGAGTTTGCCCCATTTGCGTACACATATTGGCTTCTGTTGCTGAGGTATGACTTGAGGTAGTTGAGGGAGTGCCCTCCTTATACCATAGTGTGATAATTTTTACGTGGAGCAAGTCATGGTCAACTGTATCAAAAGCTTTACGTAAGTCAATGAAGATCCCCAGTGGGACTTCTTTTTTCTCTATTGCAGTGTATATATGTTCTAGCATGTGTATAATAGCATCATTAGTATTTTTATTAGGCCTGAATCCAAATTGGCAGGGGTTGAGTATGTTTTGGGAGATAAGGTAGGAGTAGATTCGTTTATGAATTAATTTTTCGAAGATTTTTGAGAGAGGGTGTAAGTTGGATATTGGCCTTATAGTTATTCAACTCTGTTTGGTCTCCTCCTTTGTGGATCGGGGTGACCCTTGCTATTTTAGTACTGTAGGGAAGGTGGAGGATTCAATGGATTTGTTAAAGAGTGTTGCAATGATTGGTGATAGCACTTGTGACACTTTTTTGTATATAAAGGGTGGTAAGGTATTTAAATCTCCTGCCTTGTTTTTTAGTGCGTTGATAATAAGGGAGACTTCGTATGGGTTAGTCGGAGCTAGGAACAGTGTGTTCGGGTAGTTGCCGGTGAGGTAGTCATTTGGTGGGGTATCTGAGCTTGGGATTTTATTGGCAAGGTTTTGTCCTATAGTGGAGAAGAAATCATTGAGTCTGTTTGCTGTTTCTGTTGGTGGGAGTTGGGGTTCATCTGATTTTGCTAATTTATTTCGCTATTTCGTGATATCTTTTTTGTTCCCAGAATTTCTGATAGGGTTTTCCAGGTCTTTTTTATATCACCTCGTAAGTTGGATAATCTGTTCTCATAATACAATTTTTTTGCCCTTCTTATCAGGCTGGTTAGGATTGACGAGTAACGTTTTGTTTGGTCTCTGGTTATGTGACCCATTCTGTACTGTTTTTCATATTGGTGTTTTGTATTTATGGATTTGAGAATGCTGGGTGTTAGCCAGGGACTGTTCAGTCTCTTAGCTGTCATCTGCTTAGTTTTTTTAGGGCAGTGCTTGTTATAGAGGTAATTGAGTCTTTTTTAGAAAATTATTAATACATTCGTCAATATCTGTATTGATTTCTAGCTCAGTGTGCCAATCAATGTTTGCTAATGCTGTTGTGAAGTTATTAATGGCTGCCTCATTGTGAAGTCTGAAGGTGACTTTAGTAGTGTCTTGGGGTAATTTACCAAGAGTTGTTATGAGGAAAGTAGGGTAGTGGTCTGTGGTATTATCTGTAATTATGCCTGATTTTAAAGGGGATATGGTGTTGGTCCAGATGTGGTCAAGTAGGGAAACACTAGTCTCTGTAACTCTTGTAGGTTTTGTTACTGTTGGTAGCAACATACAGTTACTCATTGTGTTTGTGAATTCAGTAACGTGTGGGTCCTGGTCTTGCAGGAGATTTATATTGAAGTCACCTGAGAGTAGTAAGTGATCTTTGTTCATGCGTGCATCAGTTATCATACTTCCTAGGTTTTGACTAAATTGGCTAATATTTGACTGTGGAACTCTGTAGATGTTTATCAATGTGAGAGGTTTTTGTAGGTATTTGGATTAGGAAAACCTCCATCTAAATCCTCCTGACTGACTATGTACAGGCCATCAACAATGCCCATCAGTTCACTGCTCTCAGTAACTGTGGAGAACTATGTTGAGACTGACACAGTAACTGTGGAGAACTGTTGAGACTGACACAGTAACTGTGGAGAACTATGTTGAGACTGACACAGTAACTGTGGAGAACTATGTTGAGACTGACACAGTAACTGTGGAGAACTATGTAGAGACTGACACAGTAAATGTGGAGAACTATGTGGAGACTGACACAGTAACTGTGGAGAACTATGTTGAGACTGACACAGTAACTGTGGAGAACTATGTGGAGACTGACACAGTAACTGTGGAGGACTATGTGAAGACTAACACAGTAAATGTTTAGAACTATGTGGAGACTGACACAGTAATTTGGGTGAGAACTATGTTGAGACTGACACAGTAACTGTGGAGAACTATGTGGAGACTGACACAGTAACTGTGGAGGACTATGTGAAGACTAACACAGTAAATGTTTAGAACTATGTGGAGACTGACACAGTAACTCTGGAGAACTATGTGGAGACTGACACAGTAACTGTGGAGAACTATGTGGAGACTGACACAGTAACTGTGGAGGACTATGTGAAGACTAACACAGTAAATGTTTAGAACTATGTGGAGACTAACACAGTAACTGTGGAGAACTATGTGGAGACTAACACAGTAACTGTGGAAAACTATGTATACTATAACATAATATCCGTCTAAAATACTGAGGAAATGTTGAACTAATGTTGATTCAACATCATGAAAAAGAATACTTAGTCAAACAGTGGATCTCATAAAGTAGAAATAGCCAAACTCAATGTTATGTAACAAATCTGCTTTGGATCCAAACATTTTGATCCTAAAGGGCAATTCCTAATCATGTTCACCCTTCAGGGGAGGACACCTTAATGCTGGTAAAAGGCTCTTGATCCAAAGATTTGGAGCACCTCTTCCCTTGGATAGAATATGATTGTGTCCCATTAGATGCGCTGTAAAACCCAAACTAGAAGTATGTTGATGGATGCAGCATCCGTGCTAAGATGAACCTGGAGTCCTGCACGTCAATGTACGTTTAAATAGTACAAATTCCTACAACCTCATCATCCCATTGACCGATTCCTTTAATTTCAAAAAATTTTCAAACTAGATGAATAATAAAAAGATATTTAATTAACCACTTGCTCACCTCAAATAGTTTCCTTTAGGAAAACCTCCATTTAAATCCTCCTGACTGACTATGTACAGACCATCAACACTGTCCATCAACGCCTGGTTTTCTGGGTTGTTGATGTCTGGTGCTGCGTCAACGGTGAGAGCGTCGGAACACCAAGGGAAGGATCCCAGATATATCCTGGCTGCCAGCAGCAAGATGCACAACCTGGAGCAGTGATAGATGCAAATTTATCAGCGGTTGTTCAGATACACTTGATAAATATTTTTTTTGAGGTAGGCAAATATTTACACACAGACACATACATAGATAAGGGGTCTTACGCAGAGAGGTTAAGGGAAATCGACCTGACGACACTGGAGGTCAGGAGAGATAGGGGGGACATGATAACGACATACAAAATATTGAGAGGATTTGACAAGGTGGACAAAGACAGGATGTTCCAGAGATGGGACACAGCTACAAGGGGTCACACTTGGAAGTTGAAGACACGGGTAAATCACAGGGATGTTAGGAAGCATTTCTTCAGTCACAGAGTAGTCAGGAAGTGGAATAGTTTGGGAAGCGATGTAGTGGAGACAGGATCCATACACAGCTTTAAGCAGAGTTAAATGATAATGCTCTAGGTATATGATCGGTAGAGTGACCCAGTAGCGACAAGTGAAGAGGTGGGGCTAGGAGCTATGAATCGACCCCTGCAACCTCAACTTGGTGAGTACAACTAGCTAAGTAATATATAGCCAGGGCCAGACACTAACCTCTAAGCCATGATCTTACACTAAAGTGTTTATACAACCATTACAACTGTCACTTGGTTGTGTGAACCACCGCCAACTATCACACTTCTACAATGTCACTGTATGTGTGAACCACCGCGCCAATATCACACTTCTACACGCTACAACTGTGACTTTGTTGTGTGAAACATCACCCCAACAAAGACACTTCTACAAACTGTCCACCTGGGTGTTGGTGAACCACCTCCAACTATCACACTTCTACAACTGTGACTTGGTTGTGTTAACCACCACCAATCTATCACACACTACAACTGTCGTTTGTATGTGTGAACCCACCGCCAACTATCAACACTTCTAACAACGGCCACTTGGTTGTGTAACCACCGCCAACTAACACACTTCAACAACTGTGACATGTTGTGTGAAGCCCACCACCAACTATCACACTTCTACATCTGTCACTTAGTTGTGTGAACCACCGCCAACAATCACACTTCTACAACTGCCTTAGCTAGAAAGGGAACTTCCCATAATTTCATAAGCACTAGAGATTTACCAAACGCAATTAAATCACTTAAATAATTTGATATCCAACAGTATGTTACCACAGAAGATGTCATGAGACCGGACCAATAGAATGCACAGTGTCACACGTGATTGATCTTAATATAGAAGAAGCTCCTTGAACCACTAGCGTCAACCAGCGCTTGTGGCATCAACCAAGTATCAGGACTTACCTTTATCATTGTGGTTGAGTATGAAGATATGGAGTGTTAGTGATTATGAGAAAAGAAATGAGCAGAATTGTCTTCCTGGATAATGGAAGCGTTGAGGAATGCTGACTGTGCTTCCACGTGGATGGGTTTATATCACGCACTTTCCAGCCCCCATCTTGCCACAATGCTGTCACAGGGGAGGTTTATAAGTCACCTTTTCATTTTATTCAGATACGATATACTTGTGGTAGGACAAGGAGCCGAAGGTATATGTTTTATATCAGAATTTGAATATATATTCAAAAACCTTTCCCCCCCCAAAATTCTTTGTTACTTTACACACACGCACACGCACGCACACACCTCGCAACCACACACATAGCACAGTCTACACACACACACACACACACACACACACAGCACACCCACACAAACACACACACACACACACACACACACACACACAAAGAAAACAGAAGTAAGACACAGATTACAGGAGAGGGTTATCATTGCATTATTCTGGTGTACTGGCAAGAAGGCCCTTTGACCAGTTCCACACAAGAGATAGTGGCAAAAGCATAAGGATCAGGTGCGTATAACATGAAGGGCACAGCAATGGATCAGAAATAACCCGACAGGGAGCAACATCGAGTCATGGTAAACACTGCCTGCTAACTAGGTCACTCTACCGGCTTCTTGATCTTACTCATTACCGTTTCTTAAAGCTAGTAATGGATCCTGGCTCCACTACATCTGATTCCAAACTAATCCCCTTCCTGACTATGACTGAAGAAGAACTTCCTACCATCGCCTTTGATTCATCGAGTGTTCAACTTCCATTGTGACGTTGCTTGTTTTCATGACCCCACTCGGAAACATCCTGTCTTCTGTCCACCTTTCGAATCCTCTAGCATTTGAAATGTTACGCAAATACCCTCCTGTCCTCCCTGTCCTCCAGTGTCCCGTCATGTCAATATCCCTTAAACCTCCTCCTCGCAGGACAACCCATTAGCTCCGGCACTAAACATGTTACAAAGCTTTAACACTTTCTCTAAATTCATGACGTGCTTGGCCAGGTGGAGGGGTTCCAAATTAATGCTGCAGTATCCAGTATGGGCCTGACGCACACTGTTAAGTTCTTCAACGATTCTTAATGAAATGTTGGTGTATGAGTATGTGTGTGTTGCGTGTGAGTGTGTGAGTGTGTGTGTGTGTGATTGGTGTGTGGTGAGTTGTGTGTGTGTGTGAGTGTTGTGTACTCACCTAGTAGAGGTTGCAGTGGGTCCGTCCTAGCTCCTCCTGGCCCCGCCTCTTCAATGGTCTCAACTAGTCACTCTCCTGAACAAGTTGCTTTATCATAACCCACTGCTTAAAGCTATGTATGGATCCTGCATCCACTACATCGCTTCCCCAAACTATTCACTATTCCTACTCTGTGGCAGAAAAATACTTCCAAACATCCCTGTGATACATCAGTGTCTTCAACATCAACTGTGTCCCCCGCATTTTTTGCTGTGTCCATCTCAGGAACATTCTGCTTTGTTCCACCTTTACAATTCCTTCAGTATTTTGTATGTCGTTATCATGTCCCCCCTATCTCTCCTGATCCACCAGTGTCGTCAGGGTCGATTTCCCTTAATTCTCTCCCCTCCCTTGGGACAAACCCCTTAGCTGCTGGACTGTCCTTGTATGCGAACCTTTGCACTTTATCTAGTTTCTTTACGTGCTTTGCTAGTTTGTGGTATTCAAACAGGGGCCGCATACGTCCAAGGATGGGCTCCTAACGAACACGGTGTACAGTTCCTGAAGATTTCTTATTAAGATGTCGGAATGCTATCTGAGTTTTGCTAGGCGCCCATATGCTGCGAGCAGTTTATTTGGTTGGATGTGCGCATCAGAGATGTGCCTGGTGTTTAACACGCCCCAACTCTTTTTTCCCTGAGTGAGGTTTGTAGTCTTTTTCCCTACACTGTACTCCATCGGCGTGTCTTCTTTGCCTTCCCCAATCTTCATGACTTGGCACTTGGATGGGTTGAACTACAGGAGCCCATAGCAGGACCAGGTCTGCAGCCCTGTCCAGATCCCTGTGGTTTCTTGCCTACTCTTTTTGATCGGAATGAATTCTTCTCATCAACTTTACGGTCAACTGCAAACAGGGACACTTGGGAGTGTTATTCCATCCAAGTCGTCACAAATACCAGAAAACAGCACTGGTCCTAGGTCAGACCCCAGTGGGACCTACCGCTGGTCACAGTTGCACACTAACACCTCGCCACATACCATGACTCCGCTGCTGTCTTCCTGACAGGTATTTCCCTGATCCATTGTAGATGCCTCCCTGTTATCCCTGCCTTGGACCTCCAGTTATTTGCCACTAATCTCTTGTTGTGAAACTGTGGTCAAATGCCTTCAAGCGGACCACGAAAATGCCAATCCACCCACCCATCCCTCTCTTGTCGTAACGCTGTCCCATGTTTATAGAACTCCAGTAGGTTTGTTGACACAGGATTTCCCCGTCCCCGAAAACCATGATGGCTGCTGTTGTTGAGATCCATTCCTTTTAGGTGTTCACCCTCGTCTGTATAATCATCTCCATGACTTTGCATACTATACATGTCAAGTGACACTGTCTGTAGTTTAGTGCTTCATGTCTGTCTCCTTTTTTAAAGATAGGGACTATATTTGCTGGTCTTCCATGCCTCAGGCAATCTCCTCAGTTTCGATAGATAAATTTGAATATTGTTGTTAGGGTACACATAACGCCACTGCTTCCTCTCTCAATACCCATGGAGATAATGTTATCTGTCGCAATGCTTTGAGGTATCTAGCTCACTCAGAAGCCTCTTCACTGTCTTCCTTTGTTGTGTGTACTGTGTCCAGCACTTGTGTACCCCACCTCTCCGTCTTCCTGGAGCCCCTCCTGTCTCCTCTGTGAAATCACTTCTTTGAATCTCTTGTAGAGTTCCTCACATACTTCATGGTCATTTTCATGTTCTCTCCTCCTTCCTTCCTGAGCCTGAGATTACCTGGTCCTTGATTGTTTGGTTCCTCCTGATGTGTCTGTATAACAGCTTCGGGTCACATTGGCTTTCGCTGCTAATCGTTTCATCTTGTCCGTTGGGTCCCTCCCCCCCCTTCTTATCGTGCATATTCTTTCTCGCTTCTAATGACTGTCTCCTATTATCTCCTGGGTCCCTTTTGCCTCTATAAACTCTTCATTACCTAGCACACTGGGTTTTTTGCCTCCCTTCACCTTTGGGTGAACCATGGTCTCATCCTAGGTCTTTTCTCATTATTCCTGATACCCTATGGGTACAAAACCACTCCTCACCTCTTGCACATAGTTTGTTACATAATCCATATATCAAAAACTGGCTTCCCTGCCAGTTCTGTCCCACTGAACCCCATTCAGGAAGTTCCTCATTCTATGTAGTCCCCTTTCTTGTAGTTTGGCTTCATTCGCCCTGGCCTTCCTGCTTCCCCCTCCACTTGTAGTTCTACTGTGTATTCGAAACTTAAAACCACATGATCGCTGGCCCCAAGGGGTCTTTCATATGTGATGTCTTCAATATCTGCACTACTCAAGGTGAATACTTGGTCCAGTCCTCTCCTCTCTCTTGTAGTGTCCCATTACGTGTTGGTACATGAAGTTTTCCAGTACCACCTCCATCTTAGGCCATTGGGGTTAACTTGAACCCCCCTGTGGCTCCAATTCTCCCAATCGATTTCCTTGTGGTTAAAGTCACCCATG